CCTAATACTGTGACACTGTTGCAAAAAAAAAAAAAAAAAAAAAAATGTTGTAAGCAAGACACAAGGAATAATTCTGCTGTACTCTGCTCATTAGGCCTCGGTTGGAGTACTGTGTCCAGGTGTGGGTGCCACATTTCAGGAAAGATGTGGACAATCTGCAGAAGGTCCAGAGAAGAGCAACGAAAATGATTAAAGGTTTAGAAAACATGACCTTTGAGGGAAGACTGAAAGAATTGGGATTGTTTAGTCTGGAAAAGCGAAGACAGAGGGGACATGATAGTTTTCAGTATCTAAGTGGTTGTTACGAGGCGGGAGAAAAATTGTTCTCCTTGACCACTGATGAGACGCAATGTGCTTAAGCTGCAGCAAGGGAGGTTTAGTTTGGTCCTTAGGAAAAATGTCCCGACTCTCAGGGCGGAAATGTAAGCACTGGAATAAATTTCCAAGGGAGATTGTGGAATCTCCACCACTGGAAATTTAAGAGCAGGGTGGACAGACACCTGTTAGGGATGATCTAGACGGCGCTTGGTCCAGCCGTGAGCGTGTGGGACTGGACTTGATGACCTCTCGAGATTCCTTGCATTTTATTATTCTATGATTCCTAATAATCTCTCTCCTCTCCTCAAACTAAAAACTGTTCCATCCTTCTTTCACGCTTATTCAACAGCCCTCCAGCTTCACTCCCAGGCTCCTTCCCCCTCCCTCAGCTCCTCCATTTTGCTGTGTTTAAGCAGTGCAGGAAATACATTTCTGTACTCAATTTTAAATAAATTACTCAATTCTGTATTAGGAATTTGTGAGAAAAAAAAATCCAGATTTTTTTGTGGTATGTATTTTTACAGATATACTTACTGACTGGTATTTTGAAACAAATTACCAAAATAACTAAAACTGTCATAATTATGTTGTGTCATTTTGACAAATAAAATATGCAGTATTTTAAAATACTGTGCACAGAATTCCCTCAGGAGTAAACACTGCCAAACAGGAAGCACTAGCTTGTTCATTTCCCCAGCAGAAAGGCTGCACAGTATCACAACATGGTACTTATTCCAGTGATGTTAGAGAGGCCGTATACCAGAAAGTTGAAACCATCTCATTTTCAATACTAGGACCCTCTGAGCAATACTTAAAAAAAGCTCATAAACCATCAGAGATTAGGCTGTTTCTTTGTACGTAGGAGTACATGCGTAGCTTGTCTGTGTCACAAGTACAAACAGAGTCTAATAATTCTGTCAATGCAAGAGATGCAGCCAGCAATTCCATAATATCCAACACCTAACTGCTATGTCTTTGTAGCCCTGATGACCTGTAATTTAGACAACCACCTGTTGGGGTGGTCTAGATAATTCTTAGTCCTGCCATGAGTGCAGGGGACTGGACTAGGAGACCTCTCAAGGTCCTTTCCAGTCTACAATTCAAGGATTCTATTTAATGTCTTAGAAAGAAAAGTCTTAAAAATACAGTCACAGTTACAGAGACTGAGCCTTCCTTTGAAAGGATCCAGGAAACAATCTATCGTATAACACAACAGGAAAATACTATTTGAAGTTTTCATGGCATTTTCAACATGAAAAAGTGTTTCCTGTTTTGAATGATGTTTCTCTCTAGGGTGTCATGACCTTTCAAATTTCCTTTATCAATTCATCTGACAGTTGCAAAAGAAGAAAACACATCAGAGACTGCGTTCTATAATAGGAAAGTGATACAGAGTTTTCTGTTCCGAGCTTTAACAGCTCAACTTGCAAGGAAACTCAAGTGACCAACATTAACAGCAGGGCTCTTTTGGAGTTGAAAGTTTACTCCGCCCAGGGACTAAAAAAAGTGAATCAGGCAAGTGCTGGCACCCAGCCTCGATCTTCATTAGGAAAGTTTTCCAGACGGTTCCTTACTGTTGCTTACAACTCCTTTTCGCAATGCTGAGAACCGTACTGCTATCTGTTGGACCGGCTCTGAGCAGGGACACAGGACACGCTAAGAATGCCAGTTATGAGCCATTTACAAATAGGGCTCCTGATGCCAAGAGCTGAAGTGCTGATAGCCCCAGAGGGAGGTTTTCAGAAAGCAGCCCTAGCATAGACAGGGCTCCAGAGCGGTGTCCCCTGTAAGCTGCGCACATGCATACCCGCCCAGGAGAGCTTCTGTTTCTTTGGTGGTGCACAACAGCACACGTCCATGCACATAACATGGATTCTGCACATGGATGGAGAAAAGCCCTGATACAGTATTTACAAAGTACCAGTCATTTAATGAGCAAATAGAACCATTAAGATTTTCTAAGATCTGCATAGCAAAGGCAAGTTGTGAGAGCCTGACAGTTTTGCAAAGCTGCATCAGCCAGAGGACTACTGTCCTCAAGGAGAATAAAAGTGGACACTTGCAAATTCAAACTTCAGTAAGATGCTTTCCCCTCACATCTGGATATGCACAAAGCTCCTACTGGTGTCAGGTTATCCAAGCACAAGGAGAGGCAGAGGACTGATCAAGAGTCACTGTGGAGATCACTCATCAGAAAGTATTGTACCAATTCAGGATACAAGCTGGTTCACGCAGATAAATTATTCCACTACCAAAGATACTGAATGTTGTTACATATTTCAAGGAATGAGGAATGAAAAGAGCAAGGGCTACAAGTAGAGATGTGAAAGTTTAACCATGAAAACAATTAACCAATAAGCCTGGGCTAATTGGTTAATGTTCACAGTTTCACACAGTGTGGGGAGACAGCTTAAAAGCTGGGTCCCAGGGAGCCGCCCGTCGCCCCACATGTAACCACTGAAATTTTACACAGTGACCCGGTTATTTAACAACATGCATTTTAACACCCCTAGCAACAAGTTGATAAATTAAAAGGTAACACATAAAAACTAGATATTTGTCTAAAAAGACTGCTAAAGGAATTTAAAAATAAAGCGATCAAACTACTAATCAGGAATAAGTTTATTAAATTTTGCTACTAAATTAAGGAATGGGGGACGGATGCAAACCACGTCTTCTTAACACTGGGTGTCATGGGATATTAGAAAATTGGGGAACCCAATAACTGTCACATGAAGGGATTGAAACAAAAGTTAAAGAAACTGTTTGAGAACATGATGTGAAAGGACAAACCAGAATGGCTTCTGCGAAAGAAAATTCTGGCTCTCTTTTTTTACACTAGAACTCTTTATCTACTACGTTGATGATGTTTGAAGAACAGCAGATAATTTGGTCTTAGATGAAATTTCTCACTAGAGGGTGCTAAGGAAACCAAGAAGTCACAGAGTGATGAAGTAAATTGTGTTATGGATGATCAGAAACTGACTAAAATTTGCAAGTGATATTTTAGTTTAGTCAAGGCAAAAGGTGTTCAAAGTTCAGAGGGAACTAACTCAGTGATGTCCATCCATCACCATGTGCTCACCAGAAAAGCCTGGACAGGTGAGCAGACAGCAGGAGAGATGTGATTCAGTGTTGACAAATGCAAGATAATTCCTTCCAGTGTGCACTAGCTGAACAAATCATACATATTGCTGGGTTCTAAAGTGAACAGATTCTGGGAAGAGAGGTGGCTGTCACAGACCAGATCAGCGTGCAGTAAAGATTTTTAAAAAGGAAATACGATGCTGGGACTCTAGAATAGAATAGAATAGAATAGAATAGAATAGAATAGAATAGAATAGAATAGAACAGTGATTCTCAGGCTGTGATCCATATCACTGTGCCAGAAGAAAGAAGCTGCTGCTACTGCTGAGGGTTAATTTGCCTGGAACTCACATGAGAAATAGTCATGTGACTAGCTGACATCTGGTTTGGTTTTACTCTCACTGGTATTCTTAAAATAAAACTAACCTCGCAGCATTCTGAGTCAAATAAAAGGCAACGTTCTGTCGCTTCTCTAGTCATAGCAGTACTGCTCTATCAGTTCAGTGGTCAGGGGACTAACCAAGCACCTCAGTTCAATTTTCTGCTGCACCAGACGTCCCATATAACTGTGAGCAAGTCAGCCTTTCTGTGCCTTGGCTGCTCATCTGTGAAATGGGGACAGTGATACTGCCTCACCTCACAGGAGTGTTGTAAGGCCATCAGTACATTAAAGATTGAAATACTAAGTAGCAGGGGTCATATAGGTATTTCACACCCACAAACTGCTTCATAAATTCAATACATCTTAATTAATGGAGAGTTCCCTGTATCCCCTCTCTTGATATTGATGTGTACAGACAACCTTCAGCTTCAAGTACAATATCTTCCCTATTCTTCCTCCTCCAAGAGAGACTCTTGGACTACGACAATTTTCCCAGGGATTATGTCCTGACCTCTTTCCCACAAGGTTGCTGAGTCACAGCCGCCATGAGGAACGCAGCGGTACTCATTATACAACACTGTTGCCTGTCTTTATATATACATAAGCAGCAGTGCTAGAGAGGGAAACTGACCCATGGCCTTTGAAGGTCAACCAGTCGTGCAAGTGAGTGACCAGGCTGCGCGTCTCTACAAAACTCCACCTTTTCAGTTTTTTCAGCTAGAATGCAAGACCCCCCCCATATATATTTTTTTCAACTCAAAATACGGTCACTACTTTCAACTACAATTCAACTATTTTAAATATAAACAAATTACAAACCAATACAATCCCCAACTTCAACGTGATTTATTTGGAAACCAGTGTTACCACTTCTCTCCAGCCTTTAGTCCAAAGGTTATTTGTATGTTGAGAGGGGTGTTGGAGGGGCCTGTACGTGGAGTTCACCAAATTCATTCATTCTGAATGGCTTCTCTGACCAGATTAAATAAACCTCATCATTTCTTTTTCAGGCCCTGAAGTGTCCAGCACAGAGAGCCAACTCCCGACTTTCACCAGACATCACAGCAATTATCAAAAGTGAAACCAGCATACAGAAGTTAGTAATAAAATGGACATTACAGGAACTCCCATAAGCCAATGCCTTAAACACTTTCATCTGCTCCTTCAAACACAACAATTAATCATCTTAATGAATTATGAGTATTCAACCCACCTGCTCTGTATGGCCATGACTGAGGTTTTTCTTTATTTTCTCACTGGACAATGCAAGTTGTACAACACTGATCTTGTTTTTCAGGAAGGGACGCATAGTTCATTTGCCTAACGATCTCGGCAAACAGTTCATCCACCATGGTTTTACTCTTGGCTGATGTTTCCATGAAAGGACAGCCCCACTCCTGAGCCAAAGCTCTGCCTTCTGCAGATAAGACCTCCCTCTCAGATTCCAGATCCACTTTGTTCCCGACTAGGATTAGGGGGACTTTTTCATATCTCTTCACTCGAACAATCTGGTCCCTCATTGGCTTGATATCCTGATTAAACAATCCAACTGGTTAATACACTTATTATACTAATCACATTTTAAAACAGTAATCACATTTGATTGCTGTAAAAATTAACACTGGTTTCAGGAAACAGATCACTGTAAAAACATGTGTTTTAACAAGCCACAGGTCTTATGTGTAACTGAAAATAAACATAAAAGCTTAGGAAAAATTCCTAAATTGATACCTTGGATTTAGACTAGGGTGCGTCAAATTCAGACATTTATCTTCCATTTGTAATGCCTATGCTTCATTGCGCTTCCTGTGTGTTTAGAAAAAGCACTACTGCAATGCAAAATTACCTCAAAAACCTTTTGGTTATTACTAGAGACAGCCAGGAATTGACAAAACAGTTTTCCATTGAAAAATGCAAATTTGTCAAAACCTGAACTTGTTAAGAAGATTTCTTAGGTCCAGAAAGTCATTTTCAGCCACACCCTGAAGAGCCTGGTGGCTAGAGCACTCACCATCCAAGGTGAACTCCCTAGGGTGGGTATAATTTTCTGTGGAAAGTTTCAAAAAGGTCTCAGTTTCATTCTGATTAAGAACCGGAAACACTGACATCTCAAGTGTTTTCATGGGCTGGGTGACCAGTTTCCTTGCCCAGCTCTAGTTAAGATAAAAGCAGATTTTGTGTAAGTTACACGTTTTGAACAACTGAATCAATTTTCTGGTCGTCAGCAAGATTTGCTGCAAAAAGAGAAGCTTGCCTTTAAACTCATGACGGAAACTGAAGTCTACAATACGCATCTATGTTATGCGATCACTTAGATGGGAAACTTGTGGCCAGTCTTCTGCCTGAGAAAGTTAATTAAATGTTTAACTCGCTATCGTCTCCCCCAAGCTACTTTTAAGTAGCTTGCTTAAAAGTGTTCACTGTGAACACACATACAGTTGGTTCTGCCTAAATGACAAATTTAGATACAATCAAGACATGTGAATCCCAATAATCTTCCCAAAGGTGAAAAGGGAAAAGACATTTGTAAGCTGTACTTTTGAAACAATAGCTCCATTGCCTCCACCACATCAGATTTAAGATTTTAATTTGTTACAATAAAAAAAAGTGTATAATTTCGTGCAAGATTCTGGGACAGAAATAATTAAGTGCTTGAGGCAGCCACTGTTAACAGAACTTCATAGGGAGATTTACACCTACACTGTTTTGATTAAATGTGCTAAAGAAAAAAAAAACCAAGTGACTGAAGTGGAATATATTCATCCACGCTTCATTTTTTTTTCTTAACTATGTGCTTTGAGGGAAACTTCCCCACTCCTAGGTCAAATAAAACTGGGGAGAAACATCCCAGCATGATTGTAGTTCCTTTGCAAAGAAAATAAATCCCTAACTTGCACACAATTTATCTAGGTATGTACCCTCGTCTAAGATAACATTCAGCCTTCAGCAGAAACATTCTGCCTAAATGGAGGGTATAAAAGATTGTGCCAAGCAGCTGGACTACACCCAGGTCAAGGAACCTAAGTGAAGCCAACAAACAACATCCACATCTCTGCACTTACAGTGTTGCCAAGTCCAGTTATTTCCCACAGATGGAAGCTGCTTATTACCAGAAACAATTTAGGCCACTTAGATTGTGGGATTTTTCTGCTTCTTGTCAGTTTTTGCAGTACAAATTTGTGCATTGTGAATTTAATTTTCACATGTGACCTGTCTTTTTCATGAACACACCGCCCACACTGTGTGAGCATCAAGCTAACACTTGATGGCAGCTTGTTATACAGAGAGAAAAATATCAGGGTTTATTAGCAAAATTCACAAGTTATAAGATAGCAAGTTCAGTTCAGAAAGCAGGCACTCAGCCACCCTTATGAGATTAACTGCCAAAATATTCCTTTTAAAAAAGCAGTGTTCAAAAGGACACGGGTCAAATCTAACCCCAAATTTGGATTTTACAAACATTTATTTTTAAAGATGACTTCAGACATATGCTTTATTTACAAGAGTCCAATGAGAATAGTGTTGCTACCTCTGTATTGTAGCATCCACCTAATGCTTGGTAATTTTCCCCATCTATACTAAGAGTGTACAAAACAGCAAAAAGAAGGCACCTCCCTCTTAATGTGCTTTTGATATTAACAATATAAATTGTAAAAAAAATGGAGGAGGAGTCCAGCGGAACCTTAAAGATAAACATATTGTTTTGGGCATAAGCTTTTGTTGGCATCTGACAAAGTGGGCTCCAGCCCACATAAGCTTATGCCAAAATTAATTTGGGAGGCCTTGTCTATACTTACATGGAGAGCAAACACTGGCGATCGATCTTCTCGGGTTCGATTTAGCGGCTCTAGTAAGGACCTGCTACTGAACGGTGATGGCAACCCCTTGGGGTCACAAACAGTTGACGGGAGAGTTTCTCCCATTGACCTCCTGCACTGGGACCGCCCCAGAAATTCGGTTTAGGGTATGTAGACTCCAGCCCTGCAATTCTCATATCTGAAGTCGTGTATTTTAAGTCTAATTTCTGGCATCATGCTGACCCGCCCATAGTCTGTAAAGTGCCACAGGACTCCTGGTTGGTTTTGTGGAAACTGACTAACACGGCCACCCATGTGCATCTTTTGGGGGGAGGAGGCTAGCCTGAGGACACAGTGGGCAGGGAGTCCGTTCCAGCCAAACCCGCCAGGCGTCCGGTGGCACCGTACAGACTCACTGACGGATGAGGGCATAGGCTTTCCTGGGTGAATCCCACTGAGCTGATGAGCGGGAGGGGAAGGGACAGCAGCAGGAGCCTGCCGGGGTGAATGAAGCGTCCCACTGGCAGCACTCTGGTGCGGGCGGTGGCTCTCCACAGGGGGCTGCGCTAGCCGGCTGGCCCAGCCC